ACAGGTATAAATCACTATGCCCCACTAATTAAAAAAATTTTTTTTGTTGGGATGGAGTCTTGCAGTGTTTCCCAGGCTGGTCTCAAACTCAGGTAATCCTCTCGTCACATCCTCCCAAAGCACTGGGATTAATAAGCATGACAGCATGATGCAGTGTGCCTGGCTCATTATTTCTTTAAGTAGTTTTTCACCCCACTCTCTCCTGTCCTTCAGATATTCCAGTGACACAAAGATTTTCATTTTTGTTTATTTCCCATTCTGTTCTTGTTATTTAGGCAATTTCTTTTGTTTTCTAGTTCACTGATCTTTTTTCTTTGTTCTCTCCATTTTACTGTTGACCCCCAAGCATTACTGTATCATTCACTTCTAAAATTTCTATTTGGTTCTTCTTTATATCTTCTCTTGCCTTGCCAAGACTTTCTATATTCATTTTTTTCAAACATGTTTGTAATTGTTTACTTTTGAAAATTTAATTGTGTTTTTTTTATGGCTCCTTTAAAATCTTTGTCGAATAATTCTAACATTTTGTTACCTTACTGTTGGCATATATTGATTATCTCTTTTTTGGTTTGAAGTCATACTGGTTCTTAGTATGATTCGTAGTAATTTTTTATTGAAACCAGGACATTTTAGGTGATACGAGATTTTTCTGTGTTCGAGCCTCTGACGTCACTCCACCAGTGGAAGGTAGGAGCACTGCCTTGTTACTGCCAGATTGGGGTTAATGTTCTTTCTGGTTCCCCACTTGGCTTCTCTTAACACCCAAGGTGCAGGGCTATGCAGAGGTTGGAATTCTGACTACCCATTAGGACATTATTGATACTTCCCTAGCTGAGAGGGGTATGGGTATGTCATTTCTGCTTCCCAGTTGGCCTCTACTGACACCATGTTGGGAGGAGGTTGGGCAGTTGTAAAAGTGCTGACTTTCCACTAAACTTCTATGACAGCACGCCAGCAGGGAAGCAGGTGGAGAACTTCATCACTGCTAGATGAGTATTAAAGTTCAGGCTCTCCAGATGGTACCCACTGACGTCATGGTAGGGGATAGTTCTCACCACCCAGCAGGAATGAAAGTCATTGCTCTCTACTCAGACTTCTCCAACACCTCCCTTGTGGGCAGATGGGGGAAGTGATTACAGCTTGGCAAGGGTAGAAATCTAGACCCCCATTGGAATTTGCTGGCATGGGGGGAGCCACAGTTTTTTCTGTTGTGTTTGGCTGAAGTAGAGCAGTTACTGTCTACTAGCTGTTTCCTGTCTTATGAGTTGCTCCTTTTTTGGTACTTGGGCTAGAGTGAGCGGTTTTAGGGGAGCTTTTTTGTCTTTGCCCATTGGTGTTTCGGGGCTGCTGGCTCCTTCAACTTTAGATCTGGGATATATGACCAGAAAAAAACCAGGAACTTTACTGCATTGTTCCATGGGTCCCATGGTCCCTACTGATGTGCTTTCATCTCTTTACCTCTCAGAGTGATTTAGTCCCAGCTCACCTTCTCAGCCTCATTTCTTCTTTTTCATTGACACGTTTATATTCCCAGAAATGCACCATATCGTAGAGTTCGGTTTCTTATGTTGAAGAAATACAGAGCTTGCCATTTCATAACACTGTGATATGTTTTCACATCTTTAAGACTTTGCTTATGTTGTGTATTCTTCCTTTAATATACCTTTTTTTTTTTTTGAGATGAGAGTCTTGCTCTGTTGCCCAGGCTGGAGTGCAGTGGTGCGGTCTTGGCTCACTGCAGCCTCTGCCCCCCAAGTTCAAGTGATTCTCAGCCTCCCGAGTAGCTGGTATTACAGGCATGCACTACCACACCTGGCTAATTTTTGTATTTTTAATAGAGATGGGGTTTTGCCATGTTGGCTAGGCTGGTCTTGAACTCCTGGCCTCCGGTGATCGTCCACCTCAGCCTACCAAAGTTCTGAGATTATAGGCATCAGCCACTGAGCCCCTCCTAACCTTCATCTTTGAATTCTTTCAGCATCTTCAAAGGCTTTACTCAAAGAACACCTCTTCTATCAAATCTTTTCCAGATCTCCAGTCATGATTGTTTACTTCCTTTTCTTTGTTTTTGTGGTATTTTGTACTTGACGTTGTCTCATTTTGTTATGACTGTTTGTGTCTCTTTTACTCCCTGGAATTATGAATCCTTTCATTATAGGGACATATCTTATTTTTCTTTGTATCTACAGCATTTAGAGTACTTGACATATAGTAATTGTTTAATAACTGTTTGCTGAGTGGATCCCGCCATGAAATTTACTCCCCTGAAATAGAGTTCAGGTAATTTGAAAGGCTGTTCTTAAAACAACAGTGTTGAATAGGAATGTAATTTTGGCTGGGTGTGGTGGCTCATGCCTGTAATCCTAGCACTTTGGGAGGCTGAGGCAGGTAGATCACGAGGTCAGGAGTTCAAGACCAGCCCAGTCAATATGGTGAAACCCCATCTCAACTGAAAATACAAAAATTAGCCAGGTGTGGTCCCGTGCACCTGTAGACCCAGTTACTTGGGAGGCTGAGACAGAAGAATTGCTTGAACCCGGGAGGCAGAGGTTGTAGTGAGCCAAGATTGCACCACTGCACCTGCACTACAGCCTGGGCGACAGAGTGAGACTTTGTCTCAAAAAATTTTTTTTAATTTTAAATTTACTGGTGGACACATTAAAAAAAATAAAAAGAAACAAGTGAAACTAATTTTAATAATATTTATTTAATCCAGTATATTAAAAAGTGATTATTTCAACCTATAGTCAATATAAAAAACTGAGATAGTTTACCTTCTTTTGTTGTATTAAGTCTTCACAATCTGGTGTATATTTTATGCTTGTATCTGACCTCACTTTGTACCAGCTGCTTTTCAAGTGCTCTCCAGCTGTGTGTAGCTAGTGACTATGTATCGGGCAGCACAGCTCTAAAATATAATGGAGTTCTTAATACATAATTAGTCATTTTTGTCCACTTAGGCAGGTTTTGCAAAAAGGGCTTTTCTGGATTTTAACTATTTAACAATAATTAAGTCTGCAAAATTCATTAGAGAGTAGTGCTCCCTTTTAAAAATACCTTAGTTCTAATTTAAGAGTGGCTGGCTGGCAGCCTAGCTACATCTTGAGTATGGGCCAGCTAAGGTGCTGCTTAGAGTTCCTCTCTTGACTTCAGGCTATTCATTTACCTATCCCCAATTGCTCATCACCTCAGACTGTTCTTAGACTACCTTTTATTGGCATGATTGTTACTTCTTTCACAGTCAATGTTGTTAGTTGATATGTGATATTGTTGAGATGTGGCTCTAAAGTATCATATGCTTGTAACACTGTTGATTGGCAGACAGGTAGATTTCGAAGGCACTTCAAGAGGTTACTTTGTTGACTTCATTTACATTCATCTGCTAGGGAGGGACTATAATTACTAAAGGGTGTGTGTGTGTGTGTGTGTGTGTGTGTGTGTGTGTGTGTGTTTAAGAGACAGGGGCCAGGCGTGGGGGCTCACGCCTGTAATCCTAGCACTTTGGGAGGCTGAGGCAGGTGGATCATGAGGTCAGGAGTTCGAGACCAGCCTAGCCAACATCGTGAAACCCTATCTCTACTAAAAATACAAAAATTAGCCAGGCATGGTGGCGGGCATCTGTAGTCCCAGCCACTCCAGAGGTTAAGGCAGAAGAATTGCTTGAACTAGGGAGGCAGATGCTGTAGTAAGCTAAGTTTGCACCACTGCACTCCAGCCTGGATGACAAAGCGAGACGCCATCTCAAAAAAAAAAAAAAGAGACAGGGTCTAACTTGGTCACTCAGGCTGGAGTGCAGTGGTGCAATCATAACTCACTATAACCGCGAACTAATGGGCCCAAGTTATCCTCCCATCTCAGCCTCCTGAGCAGCTGGGACTATAGGCATGCACCACTATGCCCAACTCATTTTCAGTTATTTTGTAGACATGGTTGTTTTGTTTGGAAACATGTCTTGCTATGTTTCCCAGGGCTAGATCACTTTAATAAAGTTTGAGATCTGATTAGTGGTCTATTAATGAATTACAAGGCATGCATATACATATATATATATATTTTTTTTTTAATTGTGATGGAGTTTTGCTCTTGTTGCCCAGGCTGGAGTGCAGTGGTGCAATCTCAGCTCACTGCAACCTCTGCCTCCTGGGTTCAAGTGATTCTCCTGCCTCAGCCTCCCGAGTAGCTGAGATTACCAGCTGATTTTGGTATGTGCCACCCATCCAGCTAATTTTGTATTTTTAGTAGAAATGGGGTTTCTCCATGTTGGTCAGGGTGGTTTCAAACCTTAGGTGATCCACCTGCCTCGACTTCCCAAAGTGCTGGGATTATAGGCATGAGCCACCATACCTGGCCGTGCATGCTAAATATATTATGTGTATATGTGTGTGTATAATTATATGTTAAAGTGAACTTAAAGGATAGGCTATAAATGTATTGGTAACAAATACCTTAACACAAGGTTTATAACTCACTTGCGGTACATAAACTCTCCAAGTCGATAGAGGATTCTGCTTCATGGTCACCCTAGAATCCAAACTGATGGAGAGTTCCTTCTCGTAAAACTACTCTCTAGAACTTGAAGGCTCTTCATTTGTCATAGCAGAAAAAGGCAGCATAGAAAATCATGCACTGGCTCTCAGGTGCTTCAGCAGGCAGTCCATTGGCTAGAACTAAGCACATGGCTCCAGCTAACTCCAGGGATGGGCAGGGGAAATGTAGTTGTCTGTTCAGTAAGTTAAGAACCAGATGTTAGTGGATGTCAGTGATGTCTACCACAGTCCTGATTCTGCCACTTACCAGCCCTGTGATCTTGGAAAGCCACTCTCTGAGCCCTAGTTTACTCATCTGCAAGTTGTAGACAGTAATAGTCTCACCTAAATGAATTGTGATTATCAAATGAGATACTGTTTCATGGGAGCACTTTGGAAATGTAAAATGTGATGGAAATTTTAGCTATTCTTTAACTGTTTTTTGAAGTTAAAGTGCTGCTTGTTTTTCCACAGGTCTACTGAATGATGGAACTGTGGGTATTTTTAGGGGCAACCAGATGCGCTTAAAGCGAGCCTGCATTCGCAAAGCAAAGATCTCTGCTGTTGCTTTCCGGAAAGCCTTCTGTCACCACAAGTTAGTGGAACTTGATGCCACAGGTGTGAATGCTGATATCACGATTACAGATATTATCAGTGGGCTTGGCAGTAACAAATGGATCCAGCAAAATCTCCAGTGCCTGGTGCTGAATTCATTAACTCTCTCCCTTGAGGATCCTTACGAGCGGTGCTTTAGCCGGCTTTCTGGCCTTCGAGCTTTAAGCATCACGAATGTTCTCTTTTACAATGAAGACCTGGCTGAAGTTGCCTCGTTGCCAAGATTAGAGAGCTTAGATATTTCTAACACCTCGATCACAGACATCACTGCTCTACTGGCCTGCAAAGACCGACTCAAGTCTCTAACCATGCACCACTTGAAATGTTTGAAAATGACAACTACCCAGATACTGGATGTTGTTCGGGAACTCAGACATCTGAATCATCTTGATATCTCAGATGATAAACAGTTTACATCAGACATAGCTCTTCGCTTACTAGAACAAAAAGACATCCTACCCAACCTTGTTTCTCTGGATGTTTCTGGGAGAAAGCATGTGACAGATAAAGCTGTTGAAGCCTTTATACAACAACGGCCAAGCATGCAGTTTGTAGGTTTGCTGGCTACTGATGCTGGTTACTCTGAATTCCTCACAGGCGAAGGACATTTGAAGGTTAGACTTTTAAAATGTATTATTTTGTCAGGCTGACCAATATCTTAGTTGCATAAGATTCTATTAAAGATGAATATCTATGATATATAGAACATTTTCATAAAATAGGGCCTCATATAGTTGAAAGGCTTAGAGTCCTAATTAAAATCTCAGCTTCATGACCCGGAACAAGCTATGATGTAACTTTGAGTTTTTATTTCCTTGTTTGTAAAATAAATATTATTCTTACCTTGCAGAATTCTGAAGATTAATAATAATCTATGTAAATTACAAGTCACATAGTAGGTCCTGGGTAAACAATATGGCGTCTTATGATGATGTTTAGATATTTTGAACCATTTCCACATAGTGTTTCTAATGGATAACTTCAGAGAAACTAGGGATACCCCTTGTTGAATTGAGTACCTAGTGGGAGATCAAGTTCTCTAAGGAGATCTCTGCTGTAGAAATGGTAGAATTTTGCTTTTCCTAAGGTTTCTCATGCCTGATGGTTTAAATTTAGTTTAACAAACATCAGTTGAATTTGGTAGAGCTTGGGATTAAAAAATGAAAATGAGGCCAGGTGTGGTGGCTCAAGCCTGTAATCCCAGCACTTTGGGAGGTGGAGGTGGCAGATCACTTGAGGTCAGGAGTTTGAGACCACCTTGGCCAACATGGTGAAACCTGGCCTCTACTAAAAATACAAAAATTAGCCAGGCATGGTGGCACGCGCTTGTAGTCCCATCTACTCGGAAGGCTGAGGCAGGAGAATCACTTGAACCTAGGAGGTGGAGGTTGCAGAGAGCCAAGATTGTTCCACTGCTCTCAAGCCTGGATGACAGAGTGAGACTCCATCTCAAAAAGAAAAAAACAAAAGAAGAAAATATATGCCTCCAAGGAGCTTAACCTAATGGGAGCAGTGATTATATGATTACAAATATATTTTTATGTTTATTTATAACTATTTACTTACATACTTTTATACATATATGCTTTAAATCATATGTGGGTTTTTTTTGTTGTGTTTTGTTTTTTTATTTGGAGATGGAGTCTCGCTCTGTCACACAAACTGGAGTGCAGTGGTGTGATTTTGGCTGTAAAGGCCTATAAAGGCATGAGCCACTGCGCCTGGCCTAAATTTTTTTTTAATGTTTTTGTAAAGATGGGGTCTTGTGATTCTCCCACCTTGGCCTCCCAGAATGTTAGGATTATAGGTGAAGACCTTGTGCCTAGCCTGGCTTTCTTACCATAATACTTCCAGCTCTGTCATTAATGTTTCCCCACTAGATTTTTCTCTTCTCACTATTTCTCCACTCAATATTCTCTTCTCACTATTTCCCTACTCAGCTTTCTCTTCTGTCACCATCAGTTTCCTGAACCTTCAATTTCTCCACAACTAGAATTCTTATATTTGTTGACCACCTTATCCCATACTTGGATAATCTACCAAGCTGTGGCTCCCAACTCCTAAGAACACTGAAAATCTGCTAAACCCAGTGTTAGTTCTTAGTCTTCATTTTATTTGACCCAAAGTAAAATGGTATTTGACATAGCTGATCTTGCCCTCCTCCTTGAGATACTTTGTTTTTTTTTAACTTAGCTTCCAGGATATCATACTTATCTTGTTTTTTTTTCCTACTTGTCCTGATACTGGGCCTCAATTTCCTTTGTTCGTTCTTCCTCATCTTCCAGTCTTCTGTTAGAGTGCTGTATACCTCATTCCTTAAATCTGTATGCTGATGACTCCTAAATTTGTGTCTTAACTTAGATCTCTCCCTTGAACTCAGATTTCTACCTCAAACTGCAGTAATGAACATGTAGTGAAGGTACAAAAATGTTTTTTGGCCAGGGATAGCGGCTTATGCCTTTAATCTCAGCATTTTGGGAGGCTAAGGCAGGAGGATTTCTTTTTTTTTTTTTTTTTTTTTTGAGACAGAGTTTCACTCTTGTTACCCAGGCTGGAGTGCAATGGCGCGATCTCGGCTCACCGCAGCCTCCGCCTCCTGGGTTCAGGCAATTCGGCAGGAGGATTTCTTGAGCTCAGGAGTTGGAGGCTTGAGATCAGCCTGATCAACATAATGAGACCCCATCTGACACCTGTAATCCCAGCAAATTGGGATGCCAAGGTAGGCGGATTACTTGAGATCAGGAGTTTGAGACCAGGCTGGCCAAGATGGTGAAAAACCGTCTCTTCTAAAAATACAAAAAATAGCCAGGCATGGTGGCAGGCGCCTGTAATCCCTTCGGGAGGCTGAGGCGTGAGAATTGCTTGAGCCCGGGAGGCAGAGGTTGCAGTGAGCCAGTGTTGTGCCATTGTACTCCAGCCTGGGCAACAGAGCAGGTCTGTGTCTCAAAAACAAAAAACAAAACAACAAAAAGATAATTATGTTAGTATCCCTGCTTTTGAGGAACTCTAGTGGAGAAAATACAGACTAATTTAAAAATAGCTTTAGTCGGCCAGATGCAGTGGCTCACCCCTGTAATCCCAGCACTTTAGGAGAAAAAAGAAGATACTTATAATTTGAGCATCCAGATGTGAGGTTTGTCACTGGCTAGAGAAGTGCTGTTCACTGAGTAAACCATATAGACAATAAAGTTATCTTAGAGCACACCTATAATCCTAGCACTTTGGGTAGTGAAGGTGGGGGGATCAGTTTAGGCCAGGAGTTTGAGACCAGCCTGGCCAACGTGGTGAAACCCTGCCTCTACTAAAAATACAAAAAGAATTAGCTAGGCATGGTGGCAGGCGCCTGTTGTCCCAGCTACTGAGTAGGCTAAGGCAGGAGAATCACTTGAGCCCAGGAGGTGGAGGTGGTAGTGGGCCGAGATTGTGTCACTACACTCCAGCCTAGGCAATAGAGACTGTGTCTCAAAAAAAAAAAAAAATTGTTGGGGCCGGGCGCAGTGGCTCACGCCTGTAATCCCAGCACTTTGGGAGGCTGAGGCGGGTGGATCACGAGGTCAAGAGATCGAGACCATCCTGGTCAACATGGTGAAACCCCGTCTCTACTAAAAATACAAAAAATTAGCTGGGCATGGTGGCACGTGCCTGTAATCCCAGCTACTCAGGAGGCTGAGGCAGGAGAATTGCCTGAACCCAGGAGGCGGAGGCTGCGGTGAGCCGAGATCGTGCCATTGCACTCCAGCCTGGGTAACAAGAGCGAAACTCCGTCTCAAAAAAAAAAAAAAAGAAAAAAAAGAAAAAGTTCTGGGTGATTCAATGAGCTGAACACTTTGAAAAATTTTATTATTAAATACCCATTTGTACATGTGAATATGTAGTTAAAACCAGTTTGTATACATATGTTCTACATAAATATTAAAGCTTAAAAAGCATTTAAAGAAGTAAAGTAATGTAGGCTGGGCACAGTGGCTCATGCCTGTAATCCATCCCAATACTTTAGGATTCTAAGGCAGGCGGATCACTTGAGATCAGGAGTTCTAGACTAGCCTGGCCAACATGGTGAAACCCCATCTCTACTAAAAATACAAAAATTAGCCAGGAGTGGTGGCGTGCGCCTGTAAACCCAGTTACTTGGGAGGCCGCAGCACAAGAATTGCTTGAATCCAGGAAATAAAGGTTGCAGTGAGCCAAGATGGTGCCACTGTACTCCAGTCAGGGTGACAGAGTGAGACCGTGTCTCAACGAAAATTTAAAAAAGTAAGGTAGTGGAAGTAAAGAAACTTTTGTTATTATTTCAACAATGATGGAAATTCTCAATATGTGCCTTTGTGTCATGTGACATATATCAATACTGTAGTCTAATTCATTTCAGACTCTTGTAGCCTATCATATTAATGGTTGAAATGTCAGCCATGATACATCCCTTCATTTCCTCAAAGCTGCATATTCCAGTCTGAATATTATATGCTTTTTTGTTTTTTTACGAAAGAGCGTCTCTCACTTTGTTTCCCATCATGGAGTGCCGTGGCACATTCATGGCTTACTGCGGCCTCAAATTCCTGGGCTCAAGCAGTCCACTTCAGTCTGCCAAGTAGCTGGGACTACAGGCATGCACCATCACACACGGCTTGTTTTTCTTTTATAGAGACAGGGTCTTACTTGTTACCCAGGCTGGTTTTGAACTCCTGGGCTCAAGCAATCCTCCTGCCTCTAGCTCCCAAAGTGCTGGGATTACAGGCATGAACACATGTCTGGCTGAATATTATATGTTAAAATAAAAATTAGTGAGTAAGGCCGGGCGTGGTGGCTCACGCCTGTAATCCAAGCACTTTGGAGGCCAAGGCAGGCGGATCACCTGAGATCGGGAGTTCAAAACCAGCCTGACCAACATGGTGAAACCCCATCTTTAAAAAAAAAAAAAAAATTACTGAGTAATATATTTTTAAAGTATTTGATTACTTTGGTGTCACACTGTATAATGTTACTGCCAAAAAGGACTAAATCTTCCTCTTATTATAAGATAATCTCTCAAAATGACATTTTTTTGGCATTTAAAAAATCTTTATTTTAGGCCGGGCGCGGTGGCTCAAGCCTGTAATCCCAGCACTTTGGGAGGCCGAGGCGGGTGGATCACGAGGTCAAGAGATCGAGACCATCCTGGTCAACATGGTGAAACCCCGTCTCTACTAAAAATACAAGAAATTAGCTGGGCATGGTGGTGCGTGCCTGTAATCCCAGCTACTCAGGAGGCTGAGGCAGGAGAATTGCCTGAACCCAGGAGGCGGAGGTTGCAGTGAGCCGAGATCGCGCCATTGCACTCCAGCCTGGGTAACATGAGTGAAACTCCGTCTCAAAAAAAAAAAAAAAAAAAAAATCTTTATTTTAAAATAAAATAGATACAAAGACGATAAATAATTACGTAGCTTAATGAGTTGAAAATAAAATGAACATATTTGAGACCATCACTCAGATTAAGTAACAGAACTTTGTCAGCTACTCCAAAGTTCTTCCATGTGCCCCATGCTGGACACGACTCCCTCCTTCTCCACAAAAGCAACCTCTGTTCTGACCTTAATAGTAATCATGTCCTTTCATTTCTTTCTTTCTTTTTTTTTTTTTGTATTTTCAGTAGAGACAGGGTGTCACCATGTTGGTCAGGTGACCTCAAGTGATCCACCTGCCTCAGCCTCTCAAAGTGGTGGGATTACAGTTTTGAGCCACTATACCTGGCCATGTCCTTTCATTTCTTTATAATTTTATGACCCAACTATTTAGGCACTTGGTTAATCTTGTTCGATTAAAATTATTTGATGTCTTTTTAGTGTCTTTTAGTTTATAGATTCCTTCTCCTCCATCCCTTTCTTTTCCTTATAATTTGTTCATTGAAGAATTTATCCTTTTGATTTGCAGTTTCCCTCAGTCTAGATTTTATTGTATTTGTTGTTTTGTAGAGACAGAGTCTCGCTGTGTTGCCCAGGCCAGTCTGGAACTCCTGGGCTTAAGTGATCCTCTGGCCTCGACCTCCCAAACTGCTGGGATTACAGATATAAGCCACTCTGCCATCCTGGATTTTGCTGATTGTATACTAATGGTGCATCTGCAAATTGATAGCTGGATTTGGAGGCTTAATTAGACTCATGTTTGATCCCTTTGGCCAGACCCTTAGGTGTTGTATTCTTTCATTGGGAGGTACATTAATATCTAGTTGTTTCTCTGTGATGTTAGCAGGTATTGACACTTAGTAGCTAGATCTATTAATTCATTGGAGATTATGGTGATATTTTCATTTATTTTTCACTTATTAGTTGGATTGCTTTTATAAAGAGCCACTTTCTGTTATCTATATTTGGTTGCCAGTGGTACATGAATCACATTTTAAGATACGTATATTAACCTGTGTAATTGGGAAATCCCTGGAAAGACTTAATTTTGAACAGAACCTCTTGGTGCTGAAAGGAGCATGATAAATCTGGGGAAATTAATTGATACATTTATTTGATGAATACTTATGGAGTACGTATTCTGAGCCAAGCATAATGCCAGTTATTGGGGTACAGTGGTGAATGGATCAATTTAGTGGAGGGATTATGATAATGGCTATGAAAGAGATGTTTCAGGGGATCTAATTTAAATCAGTGGCTCAAGGAAGACTTCTCTAAGAAACTGTCCTTAACTTGAATAAGGAAGAATGAGTAGAAATTAGTCAGGCAAAGAGAGAAAGTAAGTTTTCAGAGAGGACATTGTATGAGTGGTCTTTTGTTGAGAAGAAGCTTGACTTAAGGAAAGATGAGGAAGAAAGGTTACATAGCTTTAACATTGTGAGCTAGGGGTTGAGGATTAAGAGGCAGATAGGATCCTAATCAAGTTGTAGGGTCTTATAAATAGTGTTAAATATCTTGAGATTTAGTTTAGGTATAATACCAAAAATTTCACCCATGGTCTTATGCTAGGGTCTGAGCCTAGTAAACATCTCTTCAAGACAAATAAACCTTTTTAAGATGAATAATCTGGATAGATTAGAAAGTATAATCATTTTTATTTGATTCAAGTTTTGTGTGGCTATCCTAGATGCCATGTATACAAATGATATTTATTTATTTATTTAGAGATGGCATCTCGCTGTGTTGCCCAGGCTGAAGTGCAGTGGCTTGATCTCAGCTCACTGCAACCTCTACCTTCTGGGTTCAAGCGATTCTGCGGCCTCAGCCTTCTGAGTAGCTGGGATTACAGGCGCGTGCCACACCACGCTTGGCTAATTTTTGTGTTTTTAGTAGATACAGGGTTTCACTGTGTTGGCCAGGGTGGTCTTGAACTCCTGACCTCATGTGATCTACCCTCCTTGGTCTGCCAAAGTGCTGAGATTACAGGTGTGAGCCACCGTGCCCAGCCACATCTAGTTTCTCTAACTAGATAAAGTTAGAGAATTCTAAAAGCTAATCATCTGGTTATGTTCACAGGTGTCTGGAGAAGCCAATGAAACTCAGATTGCGGAAGCACTGAAGCGGTACAGTGAACGGGCTTTCTTTGTTCGGGAAGCTCTATTTCATCTGTTTAGTCTGACTCATGTGATGGAAAAAACAAAGCCAGAAATTTTAAAGGTAAGAATAAGAAACTGGATATGACATTTTTGAAATGATCTCCTTGTGCAAATAATTTTAAGAAAATTGGTGAAACTTTGCATATAGTCTTTTTTTATTTATAATGTGATATGTGAATTGTTAGCCATAAATGAGAGACCAGATAGTTGTACAATGTTATTGAAGTTTTATAGTAGTCTCATTAAGCAATATAAATGTCTTGTAGTACATATTTATTTACCGAAAACCAGTGACCACTGTGATATTTTATCACCAGCTACTGTAGAAAATGAAAGTACAGACTGGGCACGGTGGCTCACGTCTATAATCCCAGCACTTTGGGAGGCTAAGGTGGGCAGATCACGAGGTCAAGAGATTCAGACCATCCTGGCCAACATAGTGAAACCCCGTTTCTACTGAAAATACAAAAATTAGGTGGACATCTTGAACCCAGGAGGTGGAGGTTGTGGTGAGCGAAGATTGCACCATTGCACTCCAGCCTGGGTAACAAGAGCAAAACTCCGTCTCAAAAAAAAGCAGAAAATTGAAGTGCTCGCTTTGGCAGCACATATACTAAAATTGGAACAATGCAGAGAAGATTAGCATGGCCCCTGTGCAAGGATGACACGCAAATTCGTGAAGCATTCCATATTTAAAAAAAAAAAAAATTAGCTGGATGTGGTGGCATGTGCCTGTAGTCCCAGCTACTCGGAGGCTGAGGCAGGAGAATCGCTTGAACCCGGGAGGCAGAGGTTGCAGTGAGCCAAGATTGTGCCACTGCACTCCAGCCTAGGCAACAGAATGAGACTCCATCTCAAAAAAAAAAGAAAAGAAAAGAAAGAAAAGGTCTCAGCTAGCCCATGCCTTATAAAAAAGAACAAATTATAAAAATAAAAAATAAAGCCAGGCGCGGTGGCTCACGCCTGTAATCCCAGTACTTTGGGAGGCCGAGGCGGGCGGATCACAAGGTCAAGAGATCGAGACCATCCTGGTCAACATGGTTAAACCCCGTCTCTACTAAAAATACAAAAAATTAGCTGGGCATGGTGGCACGTGCCTGTAATCCCAGCTACTCAGGAGGCTGAGGCAGGAGAATTGCCTGAACCTAGGAGGCGGAGGTTGCGGTGAGCTGAGATAGCGCCATTGCACTCCAGCCTGGGTAACAAGAGTGAAACTCTGTCTCCAAAAATAAATAAATAAATAAATAAAAATAAAAAATAAAAAAAAAAGAAAAGAAAATGAAAGTATGTGACTGGAATCAGGATGCTATATTGTATGTTAATCCTATATTGCTTCCCAAATAGATTTTTTAGAAATACAATATTGACCCGTGTGTGGTAGCTCATGCCTGTAATCCCAGCACTTTGAGAGGCTGAGACAGGTGGGTAGCTTGAGCCCAGGAGTTCAAGACCAGCCTGAGCAACATGGCAAAACTCCATTTCTACAAAAAGTATTAAAAAATACAAAAAAAGAGCCAGTTGTGATGGCTCACGCCCAAGATACCAGCACTTTGGGAGGCCGAGGTGGGCGGATCACGAGGTCAGGAGTTCAAGACCAGCCTGGCCAACATGGTGAAACCCCGTCTCTACTAAAGACACAAAACAAATCAGCAGGGCGTGGTGGCACACGCCTGTCATCCCAGCTACTCAGGAGGCTAAGGCAGGAGAATCACTTGAACCTGAGAAGCGGAGGTTGCAGTGAGCCAAGATAGTGCTATTGCACTCCAGTCTGGGCAACAGGGTGAGACTCATCTTTAAAAATAAAAAAAAAAAAAAAAACACAAAAAAAGAAAGAAGGAAAGACAAAGAAAATATCAGAATTCCATAAGGCACTTTTCCATGCTATTTAGAACCTACTGTGTATTCATAACTGATCTACATTACTCCCCAAGTAAGTATTTTGTTTTTTTTTTTTGAGACGGAGTTTCACTCATGTTACCCAGGCTGGAGTGCAATGGCGCGATCTCGGCTCACCGCAACCTCCGCCTCCTGGGTTCAGGCAATTCTCCTGCCTCAGCCTCCTGAGTAGCTGGGATTACAGGCACGCACCACCATGCCCAGCTAATGTTTTGTATTTTTAGTAGAGACAGGGTTTCACCATGTTGACCAGGATGGTCTTGATCTCTTGACCTCGTGATCCACCCGCCTTGGCCTCCCAAAGTGCTGGGATTACAGGCTTGAGACACTGTGCCCGGCCCCAAGTAAGTATTTTTTTTTAAGACACAGGGTCTTACTGTGTTGCCCAGGCTAGCGTGCTATTGACAGGCATCAAACTCCTGGGCTCAAGCAATCCTCCTGTCTCAGCTTCCCAAGTAGCTAGGACTACAGGTGTGCATGACAACACCCAGCTATTTTAACCAAGCCAGTTTTTGAAGGGCAAGAAAGGAGATTTCGTTTTATTGAATGCTTAGGGCAACGTTTATCAAAATGTGGTCCTTTGGTCCAGGACACTGTTTATCAAAATGTGGTAACTTTGGGATGCTGAGGCAGGCAGGTCACTTGGGGCCAGGAGTTCTAGACCTGCCTGGCCAATATGGTGAAACCCCATCTCTACCAAAAATACAAAAAAGTAGCAAAGTGAGGTGCATGCCTGTAATCGCAGGTACCCAGGAAGCTGAGGCACAAGGAACCTGGGAGGCTGAAGTTACAGTGAGCTGAGATCGTGCCATTGCGCTCCAGCCTGAGTGACAGAGCAAGGCTCCCTCATAAAAAAAAAAAAAAAAAAAAAAAAAGCCGGGCGCAGTGGCTCACGCCTGTAATCCCAGCACTTTGGGAGGCTGAGGCGGGTGGATCACGAGGTCAAGAGATCGAGACTATCCTGGTCAACATGGTGAAACCCCATCTCTACTAAAAATACAAAAAATTAGCTGGGCATGGTGGCACGTGCCTGTAATCCCAGCTACTCAGGAGGCTGAGGCAGGAGAATTGCCTGAACCCAGGAGGCGGAGGTTGCGGTGAGCCGAGATCGCGCCATTGCACTCCAGCCTGGGTAACAAGAGCGAAACTCCGTCTCAAAAAAAAAAAATAAATAAATAAATAAAATAAAAAGCATATTTGTGGCCATGTGCAGTGGCTCATGCCTGTTATACCAGTACTTTGGGAGGCCAAGGTGGGAGAATCACAAGGCCAGGAGATGGAGACCATTCTGGCCAACATGGTGAAACCCTTTCTCTAACAAAAATACAAAAATTAGCCGGGTATGGTGGTGTGTGCCTGTAGTCTCAGCTACTTGGGAGGCTGAGGCAGGAGAATTGTTTGAATCCAGGAGGCGGAGGTTGC